TAATATAAATATAAAAAAAGTAAAAGTTATCAATTTCTGATAAGTAAATAAATGAAAATCACATGTGTAAATGTTTTGGCCATATTATGTACTTGGCTTTTGCTGACGTATATCAAGTAATTTGAGCAAAGTGACAATGAACTGTTAACTTGTGTATGATGGCCTATAATATAGTTCTAGAATCGATGGACTATGGATTTTATGTATACAAACTAATCAGATTAATTGTAAAAAAAATGTGATTAATAGCCCTAGTGGTCATTGTATATTTTTGTTTTCAATACATATTGAACGTGTTAACTCTCGCATTAAAATGTTTTTGTTGCAAAGGCTTCAACACGAGTTATGTTTGCAATTGATAATATTGATTGATTTGTTTATAGAATTATTTCTATATGTATAATCAAACTGAAAATCTTCATAATGAAATATTTAAAATGATAGTCTTTATGTACATGCATCTAATAACTTTAGGATTTAATATTCATTATCAATTCAATAAGTTTGGGGATAATATTTAAACTATATTTATAAGATATGAATTTTATAGCTCGAGACACTTATATATAAATATTAACGAGCATTGTATATTTGTTTAATAATGACTGTCTAAAAATAAGATTGTACATGGAAAAAGTCAAAGAAAAATGCCTGTGTTGAGTTGAGGAACTGTGATAGCCTATAAAAAAATGAAATTTTCAGATCTAAATCATTTTGGCTCTTGATAATTTTTTTAAATATAAGTCACACCCTCTAATCACGAAAATTTCTTAAATTGTAAATTGGACGAAAAGGCATCACAGTGGCTTCTTTTTGATTGATTGGCAACATTTCATAGATCAACTAATATAAATTGTACAACTAATATAAACATATATTGCAGATAATAATTATATACTATTGTACCTCATAAGTATGATTGTTAAAATTGTAAAAATAAAAATATGATAGTTGTCTGTAGGCTATTTCATGATTGCTCGCTCATCTAACATAGATTAATATAAAAAACATAAAGCATCACTATTTCTACCCTTGGTCATTTTGATAGTTTAAATGCTCATGTGGTTAATGAATGATTTGGATTTATTGAAATGCACATAAAAGTATATATTTAAAATTGTCATAATTATTGAAATGTTGCCTTTTAAAATGAATACATGTAGCTTAATATTTAAAAATTCTTTGATGAAATGATCAGCCCCTGTGAGCTTTTATTTTTCAATTCCAATTCACATTAAATAGAAAACAGTCTGTTACTGAATTTAATATGATAAAAATAAATATATTTTTAGTATTTTTTGAGATAGTTAAACAATGTTAATAACTTTAATGTAATATATTATATATAGAACATAAACGTATGCAGAATGTTCGTGGCCGCCTTTTCTCTGTTTTGCATGTTGTTGCATTATGACATATTATGGTGCTCTTTATTAATATTTTATGAGATGTTATGTTATTTTTTATCTTCATTTCTACTTTTTAATGAGAGCACTGGGTTTTACTGTCAAGAGAGAGTGGGGCGATCATGTTTCAGCCTCAGTGTTTTTGTTATGCCAAATGTTGTACAGAGGAAAATAGGCTTAAGGAAAACTGGTAAAACTGTTTTAGGTTGTTTTTCTGTTGAATTTGGTTGGAATAAAGATAAAAAAAAACTATCATGCTTTACTTAATCAAATTTGATTGTTATAGTCTTACAATTTTAATTCATAATTCATAAAATGATATATAAAATAGAAAATATTTTTTTTATATTATATATCAAAACCACCCCAGATTGGCTATGATTATATAAATATAATAGAACAAAAAATATTCATCTCAAAGATATACCATTCATCAATGATTTTTTTATTGTAGAAATTTGCTTTACACATCATGGTTAATTTTTATTATTTTATTTTGAAAATTTGCTTTATTTTTCATATCTACATACATTAATAAACTTTATGTAGTTATGACGAAGCAAATTTCGAAAATAAAATAAAAATTAGCTATGATGTTTAAAACAAACTTCTACAATAAAAAGTCTTATCAATGGTCTATCGGTCTATCTAAATCGAGCTTTGATATGGATGTTATTTTATTCTATTAAATTTATATAGTATGTAATAATTCTGAGAATATTATGAACTATGTAATGAATATTGAATATTTTTGTGTCGCCGCTGTTTAATTATTCAACTAGTCAAGTTACATGATCATAATTTGAAATTCATATATTACTGACAAATTTATGATGTATAAATAAACATTATTTTGGTTGAAAGTTTTTTATCTATTAATATTAAATATAATAACGTAATTCTATTAGTCTATTAGACGGTTTGAAATGGCGGGCTACGGTTGTTGTGTGCAACACGACTATTAAAGAACCGGTTTTCTTAATTGAGCGTTTCAATATTTAAGACATATCTGAACAAGTTTCACTGGAGCACGCTGTAGAAGAATTATATCATATCGGCGATAGAAATAATGTTCAAATTCGAAGAATACATTTCTATATCATATCTGTGTATCTATAATATACACATACATATGATGCGGAAATCTGTACAATGCAGTAGGAAATTCTTGGAAGCATCCCTCGGTACGAATTTAGGAAGTTGAGCAGTAAGGACAGTGAAAGTCAAGAGACGGTTCTCTCTTTTCTAAATCTTGTTTTACTTATTGTATACGCAATTACTTTTCAATAACATTTAATTGAGGAGAAATATATACCAAGTTGTTTATATATAAAAGTAATAAAATATTTATATAGTTTTTATATTTGTATAGGATATGCACATGTAATTTGCAATAGATAGGAATATAGCGATAGTCATTTTGTTGCTCTTTCTACGTAAACGAAATATTCGTTCATAATTAATCATTTCCAATCGTGCAATTATAAAACGCAATCAATGATTTTGTTATTTATTAAAAAATGATTTTTTCGTCGTGAAGCCCTGATCGCGCTATCGATCCGCCAGCGGGGCGCCCGAGCGTGGTGCCGTCTCTTTCCCTCTCGCGATTCAAATTGAATCGATCGTCGTTAAACCTTCTTTTGCATCACGGCATCTCTCTTTCTCCCACCCGCTAAAGGCAGAACCATTGCACCTTTCGACGTCACGCACTCACACACCGATGCAGCCATTTTGAATTGACATCGTTGTGAAGTTAGTTCCGTGCGGGCACTTGGCACTTAAACAGCTCGGCCGCGTTGCGACGTTTTTTTCATTACGAAATACAGGTGTTTTTTGTGAGTGTCGAAGTGTTATTGATTGAAAATGGTGAATTTGTAAGTGATACATTGTTAATTAAGTGATATGCTTACACCTGTGGGAAGTCTAGAACGGGGTCTTCAAGGGCCACCGTTTAACACGGAAGAAAGCGCGGAACCCAATCAGCAGACGACGATGTTATATCAAACAGCTGCCAATGGTGCCGTAATCTTGTCTTCAGGTCTAGCCACAAAACACGATAGGGATAACTTCACGAACAGGTGCACATCCACAATGATTTCTTTAATTTGTTTTCTATTGATATACAAATGACAAGATTACTTACTTCTTTAACATTTAATTATTCCGATATTGTCGAGTTAAAAAATGAACTAATTAGTAGTTAAGAAATGTTCGATTATTAATTGTAAGATAATAATAATAATAATGGGTAGTACTACCCTAAGGTTGATTTAAACTCAAACTCGATTAGGGAATAAGTGTATTGTGTGAGAGTTTTTCCCATTTCCATTTCATACCGCAGTGCCCGAGATGGACTAATTTTCAATTGGAAACATATTTTGATCTATATTTTCAATTGAAAATCGACATCACGCAATGTCAGATTGTAAGATATTCTAAATATTTTCATTTTATAAAAAATACTTTTCCTAAATTATGGAATGTCTTATATCATTCATAATCTATAAAATCCTAAAAAGTTTTCCGAGATGTCTAAAACATAGATAAACAAATATAAACTTATTTAACAGAAAATATTGCCAATTAATTAATTAATCAGAATTACGAACACTCTTTTGTTCACCGCGCTACATTAAGCTTTCTTGTTCTTAAAACTTAAAAGCTCCTTTAAAATTTGTTTATTTATATACTTGGATATAAATACAACTTAATCCGGTTGTAAAAATCCTCGGCTTATATAAATTTTCAAATTAATGATTGTAATCATCAGCTTGAGTAATTTTTTTAGATTTTTTTGATTTTTAAAGATATTCTGAAAGTCTTCTTTGCAAGAAATATCAAATGGAAAAAGTAATATATTTACATTCATATCCGTATCATACATTTTTAAAAAAATGACATTTTAGTTAATTTTATTTATGAGTTGTATATTATTATATTTACCTTCTTCTATTATCTAATACATTTATGAAAAATTGTTTGAATACTGTATTTGAATGAATTTATTATTTTACTGAAAATCTATCAAATATAAAACATATGCACAATTTTAATCTCTAACCACTAATCGTAATTTTTTATTCATTTATTCATAAACAGTAATCACAAAAATAATAATTGTCATTAGCATATTATTGCCATTATTGCTATTGCTAATATTTAATATAAAGAAAGTGTTATACAATTTACTTTTAACACAATTTTAAATAATTTATTTTTAGTTGAAACATTCCAAATAAACATCATACGGCATTTATTTTAATGTTTAGTAATAATTTAATTGATTTCCAATAAAAATATAATTTTGACTTATTTTAGACTCTCTATTAAACAGCATATTAATTTTATGTATCAAACGTGAAGAGATATGAAACTCATAATAAGAAACTAAATATTAATATTTTATGACCCTATGTATTTTATATACTATTATAAAATAAGAAACTATTATAACTTACTCTGTACCTCGAGTTCTTTCGGCCAATATTTTAAATTTTCACATAATAAATTTGCAATATTGTAAATGAAAACTGCTCTTCGTATACCAGCTTCAAAAATATGATATAATTGATTTATTTAATATATTAAATTTAATATTAAATGCAAAAGTAGCTTATTGTCAATTACAAACTACCCTCTATAGGGTATTATATCTCTTTCGCCAAATATTTTCCATTTTTAAAGCTAGGTACATAACATATCATATATGCTTGAGAATTTTAATATAATAGATTCATTTTTCTTATTTTAATCTATTTGGACACTTATAATTATTTCAATGACATGTCATTTATTGTATTATACACAATTTGACAATAATATTACTACATACTATATTTATATCACAATTTCATACTTACAAATCTTATATCATTCTATAGTGTTTAATATTTAAAAATATATTAAATGGTTTAACTTTGTATAATTTATACAATAAATGAAGATACTATTTATTTTATATATTATATTTTTCATTTTATATATTTTATTGTTTTATATTAAATATGTCTTGTATATTTGTCGTCAGAGTATTATTCATCAATAACAACAATATATTCTTTTTTATAACCATATTTACATTGTTCGTAAAGATATTTAGTAAATATAAGAACATAATGTTAATAACATTTTATGGAAGTAATCAGTGCTACTTCATTTCTCCAGTTTCCAAACTTTTCCTTGGGGTTTGTCGTGGACCCTCTTGCCTCTATTCATGTAATATGATAATATGACTGAACTAATGTTTATTATTAAATATTTAAAGTAAAAATACATGTTACCTTTATACCTTTATCAATTGATTTTGAAATAATAACAAAAATAAAGTAAGGGAAAATTTAATATTTTATTATCAACATTTGGCAACAATTTTGTAAGGTTATGGCTATGATGTCCAGTCTACATCATTTTTTTATTAGAAAATCATAACAATAAGGCTAAACATCCTTTCAGTTTATTTCACAATTATTAAATCTAGAGAATGGAGAAATACTATAACAATCACAAAAAGCGCTAAGATTATTTCCAAGTCTTTCAATAGTAAGCAAATAGTCTTTACAAGCTCAACCATAATGGGACCACAAATCGAATGCATACTTATACATTTTTATAAAATAGAACAATATTTTTTATTAACTTCCCGTAGGGTAAGTTATTGTAATGGGCCGAAAATCGAAATTGAAAATTTTTACATTTCTCGACGTTTTGAAGGTTTCTGAACATTTTAGCATACCTTAGAAAAAATCGATGTGTGTGTGTATGTATGTATGGATACAAATTTGCAGTCACGTTTTCGGGCGCACGGATCAACCGATTTGAATGGTTCAAAAAACATTCGATTCCTAATGATAGGGAAAAGAGCTGATTAGTTTTTGGCAAAGGCAGGTCCAGCAGTTACGGAGATAAAGAGCAAAGAATGCAGAAAATAGAAATCGAGTTTTTGAGAGAACGGAGTATCCGATTTGAATGATCTAAAAAACATTCAATTAGTAATGATTGGGAGAAGTGTTTATTAGTTTTTGGCAAAGGCAGGCACAGCCAGTTCGAAGATATGGAGCTAAATGTGCAAAAAATGACAGTTTTTGAGAGAACTAAGCATCCGATTTAAATGATTTAAAGAACTTTTTTTTTTTAATTTTTATTTGACCTCACTCTGAGCATTTAGTCACCTACAACATTTTTATTTATTTACATTCTAATTTTTTTTTATATCATTTTCAATCTATTTATGTATCCTATTATATATTCTTCTTAATTTTTCTTCTCCTCATTTCCTTCAATTCTTGCTCTTTTGAAATTCCTAATTCTATTTAACACACTATAGGCGGGCCCCGTAAAATTACGCTCCGCGAGGACTGTTGCTTATCGGCGGGCAAGGTATTATTACGCTTTGAATAGATTAACTTTAAAAGCGAGTCCAAATACTTTTATCTGATCGGTTTGCATATGATATTGAAAGAATAGCTGATACTTTTCTCTAGATTCAATTGATTAACGTATTGAAAGACTTTTAGAATAAGAATAAGGATAAGAAACAATATGTTTTATCTTCAAGTTTCTTTTCATTCAAGCTACTCGCAATTTGTTTTGTAGATAAATATGCAGAATTCACAACAATAAAAAGGTGTTCAATATATATTTTATCAAATATTTTAGTTATTAGTCAGATTTGTATAGTTCAACTCTTTTTTACATTGTTATTTGCAATAATGAAATAATAGCATCGGATAGCGATAGTAAAGTTTGCGCCAATAATTTATCACAAATTAGAAGTGATTTTGATATTGCCGATTTTGGTAGTGTATGTGGATGAAATTTTTTTTCATCCTAGAAGACGTAGAGTTTTGCCGATTATTTCCAGAGATTCTGGAAATAATGACCATGAAGAAGTGGAGTGGTCAGAATTTGACAATCCTCCAATTATTGAATCATTTTTCGGTCAAAGTTGCGTTGTTTTGAAACCAAATAGTTTAATTGAAGTGGTCAGCTATTTTTGCTATTCGGGTCCCAGCACCTCTTCATAAGGGGTGATTTTTTCCATAAATTTCACGTATGTAAAAAGTGGTTTATATATTTACTGTACGTTAATTTTTAACTTTCCGTAGGGTAGTTATAACTAACCTATATATAGTAATGGTCGGAAAATCAAGAATGAAAATTATTCTATTTTTCTACGGTTTTTAGGTTTCTGAACATTTTGGCATACCTCAGAAGAAATGGATGTGTCTGTGTGTGCGTGTGTTTTTGGTGGCCGCATTTTTTCGTTCACGTTTTCGGGCGCACGGATCAACCGATTTGAATGGTTCAAAAAACATTCGATTCCTATTGATAGGGAGATGTGCTCATTAGTTTTTGGCAATCGCAGGTCCAGCCGTTACGGAGATACATAGCAAAAAGTGCAGAAAATAGAAATCGAGTTTTTGAGAGAACGGAGCATCCGATTTGAATGATGTAAAAAACATAAATTAGTAATGATTGGGAGAAGTGGTGATTAGTTTTTGGCAAAGGCAGGTTCAGCCATTACAAAGATACGGAGCTAAATGTACACAAAATGGCAGTTTTTGAGAGAAATAAGCATCCGAATTGAATGATTCAAAAAACATTCTGATTGTGTTGACATAAAAATTGCTTTAGGAAAAAAATATTTCATTCAATACTCAATATTCCTCGAACATTTCGATATGGTACAGGAAGTTTCAGCAATTTGCCTTAAGGCACTATGCCATATGCCACTAGTTTTTGTTAGTTTTATGTTTAATTATGCATAAATCAAATAATTTTTTATAGTTCAAAACAACCAGACGGTTTTTTTTTTAAAAAAAAAAGAGTTATAAAAAAATATGTTCAATGTGACAGCCAGTTGTGTTCATGCGAGGCGACGGAAAGAGCACTCGTGTCGAGCAAGCGATTTGCCCGCTACACATATCAGTTTGTCTGACGAGTATTTTTACGGGCCCGCCTATAGTGTGTTAACTTTCAGCTTTATTCCACTTTTTTTCATTGTTCTTTTAAGTTCCAATATTTCTCTTCTTACTCCTAATTCAATGCAACTATTCGAATTCTGTTAATCCTAAATTTCTTAATTTTTATTCAAATTCTATTTAACAAGTACAATTTTTATTTGATTTCTACACATATTTTTTTAAAGAACTTTCTGCTTGTCTTAACAAAATAATTGATTTTGGAAAAAAAAAATTTTTTGTTTCAACTTTTTTTTTCAAAAAAATTTTTTTTTTGTATATCGAAAATAATTCAGATTCTATTTTTAATTCTTACTATAGTTCTAATATACTTCAAACAAATAATTTCAACTTTGCAATTTAGTTTATATAATTCTTATAAATATTAGAAAATGTTACAATATTAATAATAATCTATTTGAAAACATTCAGTATTCCTTGAACATTTCGTTACGGTACGAGAAGTTCCAGCAATTTGCCTTAAGGCACGATGCCATACACCTCACTAGTTTTTTTTAATATTAATCATCTGCCCACACAATACATCAATTTCCCTGAGATGTCTCCGTTTTAGCCTGTTTTGAACTATGTTTGCCTACTTGTAGTAGTTCTCTGGCAAAGTTGTTGGTATGATTGATAAATGTAATTCAAAATGCAATAAATTAAGGTTGTATTTTATATGACAATTATAGATCTTTCGCTTGGATTTTTTCGCCAATGTTTAACTTATCCTTATCCGCCTTATCCGCCACTGCTTGTTGTTCTGAAAGCAAACAATACGAATCGAACGCATGCGCTTTCCCATCCATGTTTCATTTCGTATACAAATACCAAACCAATACCAATACAAAAGCATCATCTAGAGCTGTTAACATCGTTCTCGCCGTTCTCGCATTTCTAACAATGATGTGACCACAGTGCGATTCAAGTCACGCGTTGTTCAAAACCACCAATCGAAATAAAAAATAGTTAGTTTTTAGAATAACAAAACACACGTTTTAACGGGGTGGCCTCTTAATAAATCAAATCAGTGTTTACGAATATGGTGTTTTGTAGCGCCTTTACACGCCCGAGTGCAGGAAATAAAGAACCACCTGATCAGGAAGCGAATAAGGACAAAACGACTATTAAAAGAAGGTACGTCCATATGCCTAATTGTTCTACATTCGTATAATAATTTATGTTGCATTTGGAATATGTTGACTGATTATTTATTATTCAGCCCTACAATTTTTCCCGATTGTTTTGGTCAGAAAATCCAATTTGCTAACTCTATGTTTTTTAAACGTATCAAGTCATTCTGAATCGTTTGACACCAAAATTGGAAAAAAGTATGTGTCTGTTTGTATGCGAGCAGATTTTTTTACCTTCGATGTTTTCTTAGAAACGATTTCCTTATTTTACCTTCTCGAAAAAGAAGTTTGTTTTCATAAAAAAATCCGATTTGCTAATTTTATGTTTTCACGACGTTTCGAGCCATTCAGATTCTAATGAGACCAAATTTGGAAAATACCTACTGTAACAGACAATTATTCTGGTATAAAAGATCACAGCAATCCTATCACAAAAGTAAATTCTTAATTTTTCTATAATAAACTTACATTGTAACTTGAAAAGTGCAAAACCCTGAGTCCACGTTTTCGTAAAAAAGTCTGAATCGATTTTAAAAATTCAGAAATTGTTCTAGAAATATTATTTAAGAATCGTGCTGATTAGTTTTTGGTAAAGATCAGCCGGGCCGTTAATAATTAATTAATTAATTAATCGTTGATTTTTTTCTTAATTATTCTATACTTTGTATGGATAATTCCTAGTCTTATTGAATAAACTAATATATTATAGGCCTCAAGAAATGTATTTATATAAATTAATAAAGTTTGGGATGAATTATGAGAGTGTTCGGTTTTCAACAATGTATTTATTTTTACCATTAGTCGAAAATAACATGTTTATAAAATTTGTACAAAATTAAAGAATCTGCAATATTTTCTCACATTATAATATCTCTACCGCAACTCTGAATACTTAATAAAAACTCATAAATCAATATATTGATTTGTTTTACACATGTTGGGGAAGTTTAAGCAAATATCATCGAGGCAAAATGCCACTTACACCTATTTATTCATTTATTTTTTCCATGCAAATTACATTACTATCGAATCTATTTATTATCTTTGGCGAAGTATGTTTATCAGTTGAAACAGATATATTGTCTTTATCTGTATGTTATCTCTCGGTTTTTTGCACGTCTGCTTGCTGAGCTGAGCCCACATTTATGAAAAATTCGAAAAACAATTCATAACGGTATAAAGTTGGCAAGGTGGCAAGGTGGCCGATGTGGATAATAAATAGATTCGGCAAGACGGACGGACGGGCGTACCTGTAGGGCAAGGTGCCGGAGAGCTGCTCGATCGCGCACAAATGACGCGCGGACTACGTCTGTGTGCCGACACAACACACCTGTGGTAATAGATAAAGGATTGTTGAATCGATGTTGAAGTCGGATGAAAAATTTAAACTTACTAAATACAAAAACAAAATCAACGACCGCCCAAACGAATTAATACTTGGAAAGCTAATTTGTCAGACTAAAACGAATACTAGCCGCAGACTTCATCTAGTTATCATTATATTTATTAACTTTCCGTAGGGTAAGTTATTGTAATGGGCCGAAAATCGAAATTGAAAATTTTTACATTTCTCGACGTTTTGAAGGTTTCTGAACATTTTGGCATACTTCAGAAAAATGGATGTGTGTATGTGTGTATGTATGTATGGATACAAATTTCCACTCACGTTTTCGGGCGCACGGATCAACTGATTTGAATGGTTCAAGAAACATTCGATTCCTATTGATAGGGAGATGAGCTGATTAGTTTTTGGCAAAGGCAGGTCCAGCCGTTTCGGGGATACGGAGCAAAGAGTGCGGAAAATAGAAATCGACTTTTTGAGAGAACGGAGTATCCGATTTGAATGATCTAAAAAGCATTCGATTAGTAATGATTGGGAGAAGTGTTTATTAGTTTTTGGCAAAGGCAGGCCCGGCCATTTCAAAGATACGAAGCTAAATGTGTAAAAATGGCAGTTTTTGAGAGAACTAAGCGTCCGATTTGAATGATTCAAAGAACTTTCTTCTTGTCTTAACAAAATAACTGATTTTGGAAAAAAAATTTTTTGTTCCAACTTTTTTTGTTCAATTTTTTTTTTCAATAAATTTTTTTTTTGCATATCGAAAATAATTCAGATTTTATTTTTAATTCTGACTATAGTTCTAATATGCTTTAAACAAATAATTTCAATTTTGCAATTCAGTTTATATAATTCTTATAAATATTAGACAATGTTACAATATTTATAATAATCTATTTGAAAACATTCAGTATTCCTCGAACATTTCTTTACGGTACGGGAAGTTCCAGCAATTTGCCTTAAGGCACGATGCCACCCACCCCACTAGTTTATTTATATATTGTTATTACTATTTGTATTGGTATTCGTCGTATAAAACAGTTGAAAATTTTATATAAATAGCAGAATATTCTTATTGATTAAATCTATTTTTTACCCTAAAAATTACTGAATGTTGTCCGGCATTGCTGCACCAATAAAAAGTCAGCCCTATTAGATTAATTCTAATAACAAAAAAATCATCAAATATGGATGGATTAACCATTGGGTTTCCATCTAAAAATACGAAGAAAGAAGTTTCAGCCCAACAGCTCATAGGACGTAAGGTTCTGATTGCTGTTAAAAATATAATAAAAAAAAGTATAATAATTGTAGATTAAAAAAAAATTCTGCAAAGCCTAAATAGAACTTGTTAATAAGATTTAAATCTATACAAAGTACATACCCTTAGTATTACTTATGAATTATGATTCAAGCAATTATTTTATTTATTTATTTAAGATTTAATTTTTATTTAGATACCTGCAAACATATGTCTTCTGTTATCTATTTGGTGTTTGCACTATGTTGCGGCATCTTGTTTTGATTTTCTATTGTATCCGATCATTTTTATATCGGATATATGTATAATTAACACTATATATAATAAAATATTGATTTTCCATTTAGATATCCGCTATCAACGAGAATTAAAAGTTTAAACCATCTGTCTTCTGTTATCTTTTCTGTTTTCTGCACTACTTGTAAGTTTGCGGCATGTTACGATTTCCTAGTACAATTGTGTGTCCGATTATTTTTACATCGGATATGTGTGTTATTACTATTACTACGATTGCAGGTACAAAGTTCTGTGCTTTTGGTCCCTAACGAGAATGAGAGCGAGTTGTTTTCTCGATGTCAATGCACCCGGCAATCGGCATCTCTTGCACACATCGACGAGGTACATGAACTTGGGTCATTTCGATGCCTCTGGGACAAATAATCAAACTTGATTTCTAATAACAATAATAATACATCGATTGTTCAAATATTACAAATGCGACAGTGCAGCGGGATGAATTCTTTGAACAAATAAACAATTCAGAAACATGTTTTCGGTTTTGATAATAACAAAAAACATCCAACTAGATTTCGTTGGTTAATGCTGTTGTGCTAGAGTGAAATAGGTCGCTCTCTCACAAATATGCTCATAAAATGAATATTATAGTAATTTATAATTTTATAGCTAATAATTCGTTTGCGATACGGTATTAAAATTTATTAATATTTTTCTGATATGATCGTTATAAAATATACCTGATCTAATCATTTATTAAAACAAAATGAATATCAAAGTTTCAAGGATTTGTTTGATGTATTGATTGACAAGATGTTGATTGATACTTCTTCTCTGTTTTGTTTAAAAGGCAACCCGATGGTTGCCTTTTCATCTATTTTGATGTTAGAATTAGCTTCCGTTAGAAGGAACCCAATGGTTGTCGATAGTATATTTTGATTTGAAAACACATTATCATTAATTAGGGATCGTTCAAGTATTACGTAAGCAGATTTATTACAATTATTTACCCCCCCCCCTCATTCTCCTTGTCAGCAAAAGTAAGCAAAGCTCTTACCCTCTACCCCCATGCTTACGTAAACATTTTGCAATTAATGTAAAAAATAAAAATACTACCTATGACGTAATCATCATCCAGACTCCCCTGGCCCCCATGTCAACCCAAAATAAGCAAATCAACAATCCCCTCCCGCCCCCCTATAGTGCTTACGTAATACTTGAACGGCCCCTTATCATTATTTTATTTATTTCCTTTATTAATTTTATATTACTCTTTTTTATTTAAGTTTATGTTATTGTTCATAATTGTTACTAGACGTTAAATATTTAGCAGTTGTAACAAATATTGTAATTAAAAACACATTATCATTAAAGTAACCATTTTTTAAATAAAAAAACTAAACATACTCATTTTTGTTAAATAAATTATTACAAACAAATCTTTATAATCAGATTTACTGACTGACAAGGGGCCGTTCAAGTATTACGTAAGCACTATAGGGGGGCGGGGGGGTTGTTTGATTTGCTTATTTTGGGTTGGCATGGGGGGCAGGGGAGTCTGGATGATAATTACGTCATAGGTAGTATTTTTATTTTTTTACATAATTGCAAAATGTTTACGTAAGCATGGGGGTAAGGAGTAAGAGCTTTGCTTACTTTTGCTGACAAGGGGGATAGGGGGGGGGTAAATAATTGTAATAAATCTGCTTACGTAATACTAGAACGATCCCCATGACTATAAACTTTTTTTATATATTTGAGAATTATCAACTTTTTTGTTTGAACAAGCCACAATTGTTGTGAAATTAGTTGCTAAAGTTAATTATGAAAAAAATTGTGTAGAATTTGATACTATGGTTAAAATTGTGCACAATTTTTTGATAATTAACTTTAGTTTCATTGAACGAATATTATTTTTTTTATTAAATTCATGTTATGTTTTATGCACTGATAAAATCTCTAAAATCTAAAATATCTTGACCATAGGTTCCTAAACTTTTTTGGGTCGTGGCTCTTTGTGTCATGAACCGATATCGTTTTTTTAAATAAATCTATAGAAATATTCAATATTGTTATTTTCTGGGTCGATTTATAAATATTGTATATGATCTTATTATAAGGAAATATATATTCACCATTGTGATTCACTACCGTGGACCTTCATTTCTATTTTATAGACTCCGAATTTTTTTTTTTCGCTGACGTGAACCCCTTGAAAGTTGCCATAGACCCCTGGGAGTCCACATGGACCACTTTGGAAATCGCTCTAGTTTCTAGACAGATATGTTATGTATTTTTGAAATATTGTGTGATCGTCAATATTTTTATAACAATTCAATTTAGTCAGGGCGTAGTGTTGAATTATTTTATATTTTCAAACCGTTTGATTCAATTGCGCTAATCATAGTTTTAGAAGCACTGAGGCAATAAATAACGCTAGTACTCTATACACAGCATGCAGTACACATTAACTTGTATGTTGCAAATATCGAAATGAAAGTATGGTAAGCACAAGGCTATCGACGGACCAATTTACACATTGCGTATAGGATTGGATTTAACGGCATATTGATAATAATTCCCATCATTATAAACTAAACATTACTTCATTAGTATTATACATTGATTAGAAAATAACATAAACCTACATTAAATTATAACATACGGTTATCAAGCAAATATTAGGAAATTATCATTACATAGTTTCAACTCGTATACGATAATGGAGTATATAATTTAAAAAATATTAAATTATTTACTTTTTTTAAATATTATACTGCTTTTTTAAATATTATTGTATATGAGCACGCCTACTGTAAACTAGGTGAAACTTCCCTGTCATTGATCAGCACGATTCACAACTGATTCTTTTTGAATTATCCAATTCTTTTTGAATTATCAGGATTTTTGGACGAAAACTTTTGCACTCATCTTTTTTGCTAATTGTAAAGAAATGACTGTGCCGATCATCTCGTAAAACTAATCAATGCTAGTCTTTATCGTGTTTCATCAAATGGCTTTTAAATTTTTTAAATCGGTGCTGCCGTTTTTAAGAAATCGACGACTGAAGGACAAATTTTGGCCTGTGTATACTTTTTCCAAATATGGTACCAATGGATTCAGGCTGGCAAGAGACCTCAAAAAGCAAATTGGATTTTCTAACGAAAATAATAAATGGACGTTTATAAATATTTATTTCGGTTAATTTTGATAATAATATTGTATGTGTATTTTTTGGACTAAAAGTGATATATGTACGCTTGTGCGTTAGTTTTCATTTCTTTAATATTACAAGTAAGAACTTGTCACTATCGTATCGGTAACTGGTACACGAATCGCATTCTTTAGTGATTTTTCAAGGTGTGTATTTCAGCATATGTATTCATTTCGAGGCGAAATCATTATCTTCGCATAATTTTTGGTTGTAGACGTTCGGAGCCAGTTATGGAGTCAAAGCGAATATTCAATACCATATATTCATAAACCCCAGGTTTGTTGTAAAGGTTACGCAATGGACACGCCGCATACCTGACATCAGAACCGTATTTTGCTGTTGGAAATTATTTTTGGTAGCATATGGTCTATGGAATTTTCAATAAAAACTTGATATTTTACATGAATAGTAATATTAACTTGTTAAGGAACGTGGAATTTGATAAATTACTGTCGAAAAAAGACCAAAGGATAGTGGTTTCAATGCATAAATTGAACAATTGTACAATGATATTTCTAGGATCGAATAAAATTTCATGTTTCCTATGTGTACTGAGCGTTTAAGAAGCAACAAAATTAAAATTTTAATCAGTTATATCACATATTTAGACATTACATTATTTAAGAAAGAATTTAATAGATCATTTAATATTTACAAATATTTATTATCACTTATATTCATTTACCACATTTTTATATATTCATAGAATATTAAATTAATTGACTGGTTAAGGCTACAAAGAATAGAAATGCAATATATAATTTATATTAATTTATTTTTATTATTATATTATTATTAATATCTGCTATCATAATCATTTATTCATACTTATCATTCGATTCTAGTATGTTATGCATCCAAGAAGAACTCGGCCAACTCGGACTCAGTACTCAAATGGGTGACATGATGAATCTCAAGCCAGCACCTGGAGTCGTTGTCGAAGTTCCTGGAGGTAATAAAGCTTTGGAAGGCTGCATCGATGCCAGCCCCCAACAGCAGCAATGGGGCCATGGAGGACAACAATCGGGAGCTGCTACTACTACACAGCCGCTAACAAACCAGTTGGGTGGATGGATGGACTATTTGGATGCATGAAACCTGTATTTTCACTCATCGGGAAAGCGGCTCCCAGCGAAATAAAATGCAAACCAGGTAAGAGAACAATTCTTTCGATTTCATTTCTGTTTATTATCGAACTCTAGTTATTGTTTATTTTTTATCATATTTTTAATAATCTGCTCTTCAGATGACTGGGAGATACCATTCGAGACGATAAGTGACCTAGAATGGTTAGGTTCGGGCGCTCAAGGCGCCGTATTTTCTGGAAAATTAAATGGCGAAATTGTTGCTGTCAAAAAAGTTCTCAGGAAAAACGAAACTGATATCAGGCATTTACGGAAGTTGGACCACGAGAATGTAATCAAATTCAAGTAAGTGATTTTATTTTATGCAGAAATCGTAGCATGCATGTTTTTGATATGAAGTAACAGGATTTCAATTCTTTTTTTCTGTGCTTTGTAAACTACTGACGTAAGCTCACATACGTCAGTCTTGTTATCGCATTTAATAAATGACTACAATATAAACATGATGCAGGATGAACGCATTATTGTTTGCGCGAACTGATATTGTTTTCAATTTACGAACATTCGATGTCTGCGATATCATATTTCAACTTATTATCTCGTTAAATAATTACAAGAGAAACAATGGTAGCATTTCGGTCGCTATCTTATAATTTCAGACAATTAATATTGCAAATAAATATTATTTTACACCATTAAATTACGTTAATCATTTTCTTGAAAATTGACTTATATTTACTTTTTTATGATGTTATGATTGTTACATCATATTGATGATTTTTTCTTTTCTTTAGGGGTGTCTGCACACAGGAGCCTTGTTATTGCATAGTTATGGAGTTTTGTCCGTACGGAACCCTTTATAATCATTTGAATGCTGGAGAAGAAGTACCACCGTCTAGGCTGATGGCATGGGCAAAACAGATCGCCTTAGGCATGCAATATTTGCATGCGCATAAAATCATACACCGAGATTTAAAGTCGCCTAATGTACTCATAGGTATATCATAATTTACCATTTAGTACTTATATATTTATTGCGACCTTCATTTGATTGATTTTTGTTATACATAGGTCGGGAAGGAGCAGTTAAAATAAGTGATTTTGGTACATCGCGGGAATGGTGTGATCGTAGCACTCAAATGAGTTTTGCAGGTACGGTTGCTTGGATGGCACCCGAAATGATACGAAATGAACCTTGCAATGAAAAAGTGGATGTTTGGTCATATGGTGTAGTTCTGTGGGAACTACTAACACGGGAACCACCTTAAAGATGCTGATAGCACTCAGATAATCTACGGCGTTGGCAATGATTCTTTGCGACTTCCTATACCGTCGGCTTGTCCAGAAGGCTTTAAACTCTTGATTGCCCAATGTTGGAGTTCTAAACCACATAATAGACCTTCGTTTAAATTGGTGTTAGGGCATTTGGAGATTGCAAGCGTAGAATTGTTACAACAGCATCGGAAGAAGCCTATATTAAAGCTCAGAGAACGTGGAGGAGTGAAGTTCGAGACAAAATGGCAGAATCATCAAGGTAGCATTAAATGCCATTTCAATTCATTTTAATTCAAACACTGAATAATGTATTTAATGAGTCAAATTTATTGTATTTTAGGCAATTATTACGAGCTGTACCGACACAACAGCAACTGGCAAATCAGGAGCAACTAATAGAAATGCGAATGCAAGAACTGCGTCATGCTCGAGACGTAAGAGAGATGTACCAGAGGAAGCTGCGAAGAACCAATGATCTATACATGGAATTGACGGCTGTGCTATTGCAACTGGAACAGAGGGAGCGCATGGTAGCCGAGTATGTATTCAAAAAATTTAACTTATAAGAATAAAAATTATCATTTTTATAAAAAATAATACAAGTACTATAAATGTCAATGTTTCTTAATAAATTGTAGGCGCGAGAAACAGACGTCCGGAAAGCATTCAAATAAAAGGATCGTGAATCCTTTGCGCAAAGCTCAAGACCGCCTATCCCGACGAAGATCGGCCGCTACTCAATCTTCACCTGTGTCTCCTGTGAGCCCAGTTATAACCACAAGCCCTGACGAACCTACGGTGAGTAAAAATATTGATATTATAAACCTTTTATAGCTGAATTATTTTTTGTATATTGCATAAATTGCGTAAGGGACTATGCCGGATAAAATTTGTTGTTATCACAATATTCAAAAAACAGATATATTGAAAGTTTTTCTTTATTATAAATTATTAAATTATATTTCTTTATTAAATTATTATTAAATTATACACTGTTCTACGTAATCAAATACATTTCTGATGATTTCCCAATAGCAATAGTGAAAATAAGCACGTAACTGCAGGAAGATTAGTATAGGTCGCCGTCAAGTCTAGTCACGCGATCCATTCGGTTCTACGGGGTTGCTCATACTACATTATTTTTCACCCTTCTCGGCCACCCTTGCTACTAGTGGCTTTCGCCCAACTTTTTGAACGCGTGGGTTTCACCCTATTGATCTCGCTTCGCGGAAACAGATTCCATTATACCTAAGCCCACACATTGACAAAACGCCGGATTGTTTTTCTCGGAATTTGGTACTTTGGTTTTCTTGCAAATTTACCCTTATCGGAATGATTTATGTGGTAATTATGCAATATATTATTTCTGAAGGTCTTTTGGGTAATTATAGAATTCTTTTTTCATAAATATTATAAATTAGTTGTTACTAACATTTAAGATTCCAATTAACTGATTTTCAAAAATGATCATATGAAAATAGCTCTTTCTTGGCCTTGCTGCATCAATCAAATAGAGACGGAAAATTCGTTGCCTTCCAAAAAGCCACGCAATTAAGAAATATCATTGCAATATGTTATAGATTGTTTAAGTTCTAATTGCAGTGCGAAAGAAAAAAAAAACTTACCTACCTACTAAGTTTAAAAATTGTTTGGATATGATGATTTACATGTTGTATACAAATACATTATTATTATGTTTATGATTTTGAGTTAATCCACAATTGTTAAATTAATTGGCTTATGTTTGAATTGCAGAGCCCGATACGTTCATGTCTCTATGCAGAACTTGATGGTTCTAATCGTCCAAGATCTATAGTTGGTGCACCAGCGCTACCGACAACCAGACAACCTCGAGCTAAACCAGGACACGGATCGAGACATTCCACGAGGCGGCCGAAGCCACCGGATCACTTAGGTATAGTTTGGATTGAAAATATTTTGAATTATTATAGTAATGGACTAGCAGATTATAGTAATAACGATTAAATTTAAAATCGGGTAAATCGTGTAGTAATTAATCTTGAAAACAATATTTCAGATGCAGTGGTCAATACGCGTTTAGTAGATTGCGAGACACAAACAGAAGCCATGGATATTAGTGAAACTGATGTAACTCCTTCGCCATCACAAGACAATAAACTATTTGTTGACAGAGGTGAATATATTGCTAAATATAATAAGTTGCTGTACTTAAGTACGGAATTGTCTTAATTAAGACAATTAAGCACTTGGATATCATGAATAACCTTTCAATTCATTTACTTATTCATAATTGTATATGTATTACAAAAATTGAATATGATTTATTTTTTAGGTGATTATCATAATGGCAACATAGGTATTCATTCTTGTCCTTTGCGGTGCACTGAGCATTCAACTAATACCATGCTACATAATCATGAATATGATTCTTACACAAGTCACCGTGCATCAACTACTCTAGATCGAGTAAATAGTAATGACCCAACTTCTGAATCCATAACTGGAGTTCATGATTTAGAAGCATCAACACATCATCAACCTACTACTTTTGCAGCAGTGATGATGATCATTTAGAAACATTGGGTAGAAAAGTTAATGAGTTACTTACTGAGAAATGTCTGTACAGAGGAAGCGTTAAAAATGGAAATGATCATGGAACTGAAAGTTGGTCCGATGAGGGAGAGACTTTTAAAGGCGTGATTTTCCGTTACGAAGACGAAGGTTAGTATATACAGAGTTCAAAAACTGCATATTTATATGATATTATTTTATTATGCTTTTTTATAGCATTGCTCGAAGGCCCATTGGTCCTGGTGTTCGTTCAAGAAGACATAAACAAAACTCAGCGATACCACATTGTTCTCCACAGCAGAATAGAAATCAGAAACAATCTGATGAAGAAGAGGAAGAGACTTCAGAATTCCCATCGAGTCAGGATTCCACTTTGGAAGGACACGCAAAAGTTAGTAAAATGAGCAGAGAAATCCCACTTTCTGATGGCGAATCAGGAGGTTCATGTTCTGGATCTGAGGATCTTCCTAAGATAATACATGCTAATTAAGATATCCATATTTATTTAAGGTTACACAAGTGATTTTATTTTCCAGACATTACTTAGTGTGATTTTAAGTAATTATCTGTCGTACTTACAAAGAAATATTATTAGTACAGATTTCTTTTCCTATTTTTAGAAATAGTACCTGCTTTTTATAGTGCATATGAAATAAAATGAAATTTGCTATTAAGAAATTATTACATATTTTGGAATGAATTAAATTTAAAATGTTTTTATACTTTGACTGCCCTTTTAAATAGCTGTGAATACGATCAAAAGTAACAGAATATTTTTGTGAAATTATTTTAAAAAAATTATTATTTAAGAAAATCTATTATAGGACATGTATTTAATTTTGTAACAAAAGGAGATTTTGGAATCTGTGATGGAAAATTAATTATGCCAGTTTTTCCTTAATACAAATGCATGTTATGCAGTTTAATTCCTGCCCCATACAAAATACATTAGATATCAAAGCATTTGAATTAATAGATGCAGTATTTTATAATGTGTGGTTTTAAATAATTTGATATGCATAAAACTTAAAATTAATTATGAATGATATATTAATTGATGGCCTAGCACTTCAATTATTCACATAAAATATAATTTTGTGAATGCAACAAAATATTGTGTAATAAAGCCTTATAATAATATATTATAATTTGGCATATCTACCTCCAAAATGTAAGATTTTAATAGGAAGTGTGAAAGCACATGTAGAATTTAAAAACATTCCACAGAGACAATTTATGCAATAAAAATTATTCTAATATTTAGAATAGAGTGTAGAATTTATTGTGCACTATTTGCAATGATATGTGATGTTATATGATGTATTAATAATTAGCATTTTAAAATAATTAAGAATATTTTTTTTTAGTTCCCATAACCATTGATATTATTAGATACTTAAGAGACATGCAATTTGTATATAAGTAATCTATATATTTTATTGCGTCAATGAACTTTATTATTGTATTCTAATAAATTATGAACAAACAGAATTGTTTAGTTTTTATTTCAGTTATATATGTGTAAATATTTAGAGATGTTGAGATATGATTTGAAAAGACCAATGCTATAAACATTATAAATGTTTTATAAAAATAATTGTATTGATACATGAAATAAGATTATATTTAAGAATACATCTGCTACTATTTGAATTTGTTTCAAGCAGTTTTGAAGTATATTTGATATTCATAAAGTAAAGCAATGAATTTTTTTTACTAAACTGTTAAGTAAGTTGATATCAAAAACTATAATTTTAGAAAGCAATCTCAGTGGATGTAAAATAATTTTCCGTTCTTGTTTGAAATTACCGCCTAAAAATTCAAACGTTCATATGTATTTGTTGGTTATGTTGTTTTGCAAGTACTTCAACAGAAGAAAAAATAAATTAGGATTTGTTATTAATTATTGCATTGTTTTAATTTTATTGATTTTTTGCATATTATGGCTTTGTTTATTATATTTTTCAATTTCTCTACTAGATATGTTGCTCAATTCAGTTTTCAACAAGTTGTCATAAGTGCTGCCTTACGTTACTCACTTAACTGGTGTTGTCATATTTTGGTGAGGAGGTGTAAAAGTCTTGTGTTTTATTTTTGTTGTGATTTTTTTAATTAGATATGTGTTTATATCTTGACGCAGTGAGTAAATATGAACGTGGAATCATTATGGTAATATAGCATATTACCTATAAGGTAAATGAAAAGTGCAAATCTAACAATTTCTTTTCTTCATGGCCTCGTTCAGTCGTAGTAATTTCAAAATGGCGACTTCTGACGATGAACCCATGC